CGAAATCTTCGACAAGGCCTCACGAGGTGCATGGGGCGCTACGCTGCTCCTCTTTCGAACAAAAGGACGGTCGCTGGCTGCCCTAGGTAAGCTGTGACCGTACGAACCATGTGTGAAATACACTGACTTCATATCTTTACCTCTGTAGGAGCCCTACTAATTGTGTTGCTGCTTGCTATCGACACTTTTTTCCAGCAAGTGGTGACATTCCCGGATCGTTGGGCCCTTCAAACGGCACCAAGCTCCATTCCCATCGTCAAGACGTATAGTCCGTATTTTTCCAAATACTTCATCAAGGGTGATGAGATAGCCATGTACGATGAGGTCACCTCCCCCGTCATCAAAAGTTACTTTTACGGAAACGGATCGATACCCGTGCCGTTCGGAAGTGGATTCCGCCCGGATATACCGCTTTCCTGTCCTTCTAGCAAATGCACTTGGCCTACTTACGACACCCTTGCGACGTGCAGCAGCTGCGTGGATGTTTCTCACGATCTAAACATCACGTATGCCTGTCTGAATACCACCATTGATTGGAGTGTCAAATGGGAGGGTCCACTAGCAGATGTACCATATCCGGTCGGGAACGTTTGCGGTCATTTCCTCAACCTTACGTCGGCTACGCCGATACTTCTCTCAGGTCATGTCGTGAGCGAAAACGGCACCACGAACTCAACTGATGAGGTCTTGCTGGTGCGCACGATTCCTCTGTCCGACATGAACACGAAAGAACCCTATTACGGCACTGGCTCCTTCGCATTCAAAGACATTCGCTATCCCGTCAGTATCATCCCTGTACGAGATGTATGTGAGACAAACGCTGACTTTATACACCGATCTTTAGATCACCGACGGTCTCGTCGCATCAGCATCGAACGGGATCGATAGTGTATACGGTCGCGAGCCTCCTGTGGTGCACGAGTGCATGTTGTCTTGGTGCGTTCAGCGAGTAAGATCATCGTACGAGTGGGGCATATACAGCCAAACTACCGAGTCAACATTCCTCAACATTGCGACTGATACTGTCCCTTGGCCATGGATAGTCGACGGCAACTGGTATGAGTATTCGCCAAACATCACTCTCGAAGCGCCAGCCGTGGATTATCCTGATACCAACAACACTTATTCGGTGTGGAACGAGACAGCTTTCCAGATCATGGTCATCTGGGACGATTTCTTCCCGTCATCCTACACGGCTGCGGGTAGGGGCTCAAAACCTATATTGAGGTTTAAGGAATACCCTGACGGACCCGCTACTCGCTTCATGGACTTCAATCCCTGGCTAGCGCCAAGCAACGTTACGCGCCACATGGAACGACTGGCATCATCCCTCACGAACGTTATGCGGTCGAACACGAAGACTACTGAAGCGCTCCTCGGTGAGGCATACGATCGAGAGAAGTTCGTCCGCATCAACTGGCCATGGCTCATATTTCCGTTGCTTCTCCTACTACTGAGTTTGGTATTCTTGGTCGCTACCATCATCAAAACGTCGAATGATACCGAGACGGGGGTTTGGAAGACTTCAGCCCTGCCTACGTTGATCTACGGTCTACCACAAGATGTGCGGAAGGATAGCATCTCGACCACAAGCTCGGAAAGCGCATCGCCTCACGATCCCCGCAAGGTTAGAATTAGACTCTTGCCAAAGCAGGGCTGGAGAGTGTCGGGACAGGTGGTGCCAGCACCGACAGCTCCACCTGGCTTCATATAACTGCAACGATTTTTCGTAATGCACACATATAGACAATGCATATAGTTGTAATAATACATGATCGATGATGAATGGCCACATCTGAGGCTGGTATTGGCGCGCTGTCGTCATCGCAGGGCGAATCTCGCTTGCTGAACCTAGCTCGTCCAACGCGTCCCGCTGAGCCCTCACGTCTTTCCTCTTCGTCCCAGCTTCATCACCCGAAGCTATCCTCCGTCTTCGGTCACCAGGAGATCCTTGATCTTTACTGCATCTAAAGTCGCTATACCTGCCTGCGCGATATGGCCATGACGGTCCCCGCGCTCGGTAGCTGCCAGCCAGTTGGTATGCCGCAGCGCTAACAGCAAAGCTCTCATAGGCGCACGATAACGAAGCGCACGCTCAACGTCGAAGATCAAGATGCGCAGCTTAGCGCCACGACTCTACCATGACTGAAGGCATACTCGCAGCCGGCAGTTCAAGATGTATAGCTTGTTAGGCGCCGGTGCGCTGTCATCTTACCCTCGAGCAGCGATCGAACGACCAGCCTTACCGCGAGAAAACCCCCCTTCGCGTCTCGTGTTTCTCATCACGGCCCGATTTTCATCTATGCGAGTCTCACCGAGATGGCTTCCATTCCAAACGCGATACGATACCAATTTTCGTGGACACAAGAACGCGGACAACATGAAGGACGACATGCGCCAGGGTCGCTAGACTCTTCAGAAGACGAGAAATCATCGCTCGACTTCACGCAACGAATCGAGAGAAAGTTAGCCGAGTACAACTCGTCAGACAACGTCTTCAAGAGATGGCTATTCGAGATGATGAGTTGGTTGCTCAGTGCATCGTGTATGATAGCGATCATCTGCATCTACCTTCGAATCAACGGCCAACCCATGTCGCTGGACGGATCCTATCTCACCTGGACGAATGTCTTGGGTAAAGTCTCTTCGGCTGCGTTGATCGTTCCAACATCAGAGGCGCTCGGTCAACTGAAATGGCATTGGTTCCATAGATCCAATGCTATGTGGGATTTTGAGATATTCGACAAAGCTTCCAGGGGACCTTTGGGTGCCCTAATGTTACTATTCCGGACAAAGGGCCGTTCTTTAGCGGCGCTCGGCGCGCTCTTAATTGTACTACTTCTTGCGATCGACACCTTCTTTCAGCAAGTTGTCAGTTTCCCAGACGAGTGGATGACACAGTCTAACGCCGGATCGATACCAAGGGTAGTGCAGTACGAGCCGCTCTACGCACCGGAAACCTTCCAAGGACTCGAGACGAATTTTGTGGACCCCGCTTTCAGAGACCTCTTTGGCCGGTACTTCGCAGGGAATGGGACCCACCCTACGCCTTTTGCCAACACTACACGCCCCGACATACCACTCTCTTGTCCTACTAGCATCTGTAACTGGCCCCCATACGAAACTTTAGGCGTGTGCAGCGAATGTGTACAAGCGACAAATTTACTGCAATTCGCGTGCTTAGAGACGAAAGTCGACTGGACCGCCACACATGTTCGCCCAATTGATGACGATTCATACGCCGAGAGAACAGTCTGTGGCTACTTCTTGAACGCAACAAGTAGATCGCCTGTACTGATGTCGGGGTATGTTGTTGGTGGTGGGAATGAAAAGCCAACAGATGAGGCTCTGCTCGTACGTGTGATGCCATTGACTGATATGCAGACAAAGGCGCCGGTCTTTGGCGGCTCGATCAACTTCAGGCATCTTCGTAATCCAATCCTGGACACACTCATTGTCTCGGCGCCCGACGGCCGTGATAGTGTGTATCGAAATGAAACTCCTGTTGCTCATGAATGCGTTTTGGCTTGGTGCGTCAAGACGGTGGCATCAGCATACGCGTGGGGTCAATATAGTGAGACGATATCGGCCGTCTACCTGAACACGACAGATCAACCGTGGCCATGGCCATGGCAGAGTTATCCGGTGGAGCTGGAGAGTGAAAATGGCACCATGACTATCTTTGATGAAGATGTGACGATCACTCCGCCTCTTGCCACCCGTACCAACTCAACTGCGGAATACGAAAGCTTCAGCATGTCTAATACCACCGCGTCAAATATCATGATAGGATTCGACGATTTCTTTCCTTCGTACTACACCGCTATCAAGGGACAGAAGCCAGCCCTGCGATACAAAAACTACCCCGATGGACCCTCTTTGCGCAAGCTGGCATTCAATCCACTTCTGTTTCCTAACAACGTCACTCACCACATGGAGAGATTGGCAACCGCCATGACCAACGTCATCCGATCATCTGTCAGCGTAGAGATGATTTCGGGCGATGCTCTATCTCCACAAAGCATCATTGCTATACAGTGGGAGTGGCTCAGTTTCCCATTCCTGTTACTCCTCCTGTCCCTGATCTTTCTGGTCTTGACGATCATCAAAACCGCAAGAGACACGGGAACGGGTGTTTGGAAGACATCGGTCATGCCGACTCTCATCTATAGTCTGCCCAAGGAGACTCAGGGTCAATTCCAGGAACCATCAACTTGGCACACTGCGAGGGATACGAAGAAGGTTCGCATCAGGCTGCTGCCGAAGTCGGGTTGGAGGGTGTCTGGTCACAGCCATCTCAGTGCGTCGCCACAAATACCGCATCCTGCTGTTCAAGCACCACGTGGCTGGATTTGACATGCACTGCCTTAAGCTGTGGAAAGAATAATATAAGCAAGTGCAAGTTGACTTTGGAGCCTGCAACAACGCAATGCACAAAAGTGTAGACACTCAATAGCAATGCCTAGATGTAGGCTTCTGGACTATATGATACGCATGGACACCAGATCTATACAATGGCCTTTTGAGAAACCCTCGGGAAGCTCGAAATGTGATTATGTGGTGTGATAGAAGTTGTGAGGAGCAGCATGTTGCATTGCGACGCGTTTTCGGTCTCAGGCTCACGTGACTGGGTTTCAGCCTGCCTGATTTGTGCCGCGATCGTTATGCTCTCTTGGCTCTCTTCCAATCGTTATACGGATAACCACAACAAAATCATCCTGCGTGCCTAGACAATGCAATCGACCTGGCATCAGTAGTTTCCAAGGTGTTCATCAGGGTGAGGCGTAGTCACGGATCGAAGCGCCACTACATGCGTAGCGGAAATGAGTACGGCGTGCGATATCCTAGATATACTTGTACTTGGTGAGCCTGATCAATGGACAAAGTACCAGGCGATTTCCTCTCGCTGTAGGTGGTAGCTCCATCAACTGAACCGCAACCAATCTGCACGCATCTTCAATTTCCGTAGATCAATACTCTCCCTTTCCACTCATACCAATATGCGCGTACACGCAGTCACCGCATTGCTTTCCTTCTCTCTTGCTGTCCTTGGAGCACCTGTCTCAGACGTCAAGGTATTTCATCTCATATTCATATCCCTAGGTCTTCGCTAATAGGGTATAGACATCCCTTCATGATATCTCGTCTGCTAGCGCAAGCCATCGACGAGATGCAATCCCTATAACTCTCATCGAGCCCTTGGAAGCACGCCGCCAGGCCGAAGAGGGACCTATTGAAGCTCGGGGCATGGTCAATACCAGCACCGGACGAGGGAAACGAGAGGCCGAGGCTGAGGCTGAGGCTGAAGTCCTCGAAGCACGCGGAAGGTTCGGGAGTAAAGCAGGTGGCGTTCCACGGGATGCAGATGCGGAGACCGTCAAGCGGGCTATCGGGTTTCCAAAAGGTGGCTCGTCCAGAAGACGTCGGGATGCACAGGGGCTCAAGTTCAACAGCCCTGGTGGTCATCGACGAGATGCGGATGCAGAGACCATCGACCGATCTATCAGACTTCCAGAAGGTAACCTGGACACCGGTGGAGTCACTATTTCCAACGAGGCCCTGGCCGACCGTAGTCGCCTTGTCACATGGCCCCGCACACGCGATGCTGAGGCATCGAACGATGTGGTTGCGCGTGGAAAGGGAGTGCCATGGACTCCCAAGCGCGATGCTGAGGCAATCAAGATCAACAGCCCTGGCGGCCATCGACGAGAAGCCGAGCCCATTAAACAAGCTCTCGGACTCCCAGCAGGTGGTTCGGGCACCGAAGGCCTCGCTATATCGAACGCGGCCCTGGCCGAGCGAGGTCACAACGTCCCATGGGGAGGCAAGCGCGCCACCGACCCGGCAGACGACTTGGCCGAGCGAGATCAAGGCTCGCACTGGGGTGGACGCAAGCGTGGTCTTATAAGACACCCTGGAGGTTCTCCTAAGAGAGACCCTACCCCAGGTCGCGGCGGCAGCTACCGACGCGAAGCTGAGCCCATCAGACATGCACCAGGAGGCGGCTGCCCTCGGGATGCCGCTCCCATCAAAATTCCACTAGGTGGCTGCCGTCGGGATGCTGCTGCCCAGCCTAACAGAATCGGCGGGGGTATAAGTGGAGGTCGACGAGATACCATTCCCAGAGGCATTCGCGGTAATGGTGCTAACCCTCGAGGCGTTCGTCCGGGAAATGGTAATAATCCAAGAGGCTTTGTTCGTCCGGGGAGTGGTACTCGCCCAAGGGATGTCACTGCGGAGACGGTCGGGACTCTTGGGTGATACCGGGGCTCAAGCCATCATGATCTATCGATGAAGGCTGGAGAGTTCAATCGGATAGCTTTCATTTTCTTGTTTTTGCTTTGCGAAGTCTTTTTGTACAACAGATTAGGCTTCGGGTATCTCGACGACCTGCTGGACATCAGGCGGAAGGTGTCCAGCTATGCTGTATCTCTTTAAAATACACATGTTTCTATTAGAAGTGCTTAACTTTAGGTTCATCCCAGTCGTAGTTGTGTTGGCAATTGTAGTGATGTCGAGGCGAGTATCACATTGCTCTCTTTCGCTCTTGCTTTTGGAGTGCTGGTGCTGCCCAACGATATTCTCCAACATATGGCTAGTCTTTTGCATTTACATCACGGGAGAAGGCTGCATGGGTACATATTATATCGAAATTGTTTAAAGACGAGCTATGAGTACATGAAACCGGCATACACCAGTAGTATCAAAGATCAGCGCGCAGCTGATATGGGTTATCGCAGCAGCGATATAATTAGACCGCACGAATGCAGTATCATAGACCAGCAGAGCCAGTATGGTGACCAGCAGAGCTAGTATCAGAGACTAAACGAATCTAGTATTGTGACTGGTCCGAGACCAGTATCAGGCAATGTATGCACCGCTACCAGCGGCAGAACATCGCTTTTAGATGCTGACGCGAGCTCAGCTCCGAGCAGCAGCATCATTCAGAGTATCGAAGGATTCATTGCCCAACTCCTTCGTAGGGTCAAATGTCTTCGCCGAACTATCTGTGCGTTCGAAGGCGTCGAAGTGGAGTCGAATTGTCGGATTCGACATATTCTGTTCTAAAGCTTGGAGTCTTTGGTCGATGGAGCCGTCCTATAGGTGCCGGCTGGCAGCCTAGCTGCTTCATACTGCGACTTCAATCGAACATCTCGGGAGGGCGGATCGACCAGGGACGGATCAAGGTTCCGGCTTGATGAATTGGCTATTGGATGGAACATTTGTCGAAGTCTGGCCAGGTTGCGCACTGCTCTGCTGCAGAGGCGAAGTCTGGTTGTGCTCATTCGCAGGCATGTTCCCACGATTGCCGATCAAGATAGAAGCTGACGCTTGCTGTAAGATCTCTGCGATCTGCTCACGCACTATCGAGGTGATCAGGGCTCGGAGTTCCGGCGTATCGAGGGGAGTGCTAGTAGTCGTATTCGAAACAGGTCCGCTGGCTTGTTGTGCAAGGTACTCGTTCACCTTTCGCTCGGCTTCCATATAGATGTTGTGCGAATCCTCGAATTCGTTGACTTGATCGACTTGCAAAGAATGCAAAGGAATAAGCTCTTCACCATTTCTCATTATCTCAAAAGTTGTGTCGCGATAGTCGCGCGCGACTGCCATAGCCATATCGTAGTCAATCTTGTTGGGTGCATTGGGAGTGTAAACTATCTTAATTAGCATTTCGTTTTACTAAAAGAACGAGCTGACTGACATTTCATCTTCTTTCGCGACTCCGTTCCCATTGAGTCCTGCGCATTGTACGCGCCGTATCGCACATTATTGTCGGATTGGTGAGAGTTGGAATAAGCTCCGCTGCGTTGCGAATTATTGGCGAATTGGTTCGAATTGGCATACTGGTTTGAATTGGCGTGTTGGTTCGAATTGGCGTATTGGTTCGGGTTGGCACATTGGTTCGGATTGTTTTGGTAAGGGCCATTGTGGCCCTGGTTGGGATAGTTGTTTTGGAAACTGAAGTTTCCGCGACCGGCCATTTCACTATACATGTCAGCGCTCGTCTGCGAGATGAGAATGTGGGGGGTACTTACATTGTGTGTGGAAAGGCGAGGAGCTAGAGAGGCCAGGGAAGCTGCGATAATACAGCGGCAGGTGGGAGACAGCGTCCAATTGGGGTTAGCGTGGAACCTGGATAGCGACTTCCAGCCGAGCGCGATTCCCAGGCACGTGCCAGGTAACAACGCCAGCAGAGATTGGAACATTTCTACATCGTGCGCAAAGCCGCGAAATTCGAGAACATCTGGATAGTTCGCGTCCGATGTGAGGGCTAACATGAATGGTGGGTAGGAGGTGATAGTGGGTTATAAAGTATATACATTGTACCCGATATTTCGTCGCGTTGCACCTTTGGCACCACCCACTGGAGTGCTCGTTTTTTTCATGGGCGCGACACAAGCATCGTCTTCGACAACTGCATCACTTTGCTCGCATTATAGCACTTTTCATCTGTCGCCGAGGGCGGCGTAATTGCTCACCTCATTAGCGTGTTTACGCTTGACGCGTCAATCGCTCCGTTGTCGCGAAAAAGACGCGTGTCCATCAGCAACCCATTACCTCAACGCCTACGTATAACTCCTTCATCGTCCATCGCCCATTACCGGCAGTATATCGATTGTTCCGCTGTCCACCTGCCTGTTCACTTACTTGCGCACAGCGTCGCCAGGGGTGTAGAGCTTCGCCGCGGTTACAAGTACCTAGGTATCTGGAGCGTTGCACAACCACCTCGTTCTTCGATTAAACGCTCTAGTCCAGGCTTCTCGGAAGTTTGCATCTGCCTCCAAACTGTCTTGCCGACTTCATGATACCATCGCGATCGCTTGCTTGCTACAGCGCAGCAATGTATTCTGCAGCACTGGTATGACGCTCAGCAGAAATCTGAGGCTGCGACATACATGCTGCCGAAGCATTGACTCGTTCAAATGTACACTGGCGACTATCGTTACCGACTTACCAAACCCCAAATTTGGACGCTCAAGATTACCGCCAGAAGATGTCAGATTCGAGCGCGAAACCCAGAAGCATTGCCTACACAGGCAGCTTGAGCCGTGGTCACGCTAAGCCAGATCCTAGCTAGCGCCCATGGTTTTCCAGGCCATACACATCTCGTGGTACCAGCAACTGTGGCACGTACAAAGAACACCTATACAAGCAGACGCGGCGACTACTTAACCCCTCTTAAACTCTGTATTTCGATTTTTCGCAAACCTTCACAACCGACCCCTTCCTGCTAAGCGACCATGGGTGCCGCGCTATCTTCAGTAATCCAATCAAGGGCCAACAAGTCAATTCTGCAGGCTGATCCTAGGAATTTCTTCCTCCACTCGATCTATGAGCCATACCGTGATCTTCGACACCTACATACCAGAGAACTGGAACTCCACTTGGAGTGGTACCATATACAAGACCGCGCAAACACACCCCCAGCAGCAGCTCCGCCCTACTCAGAAGCGGAGCTTTCAGCGTTGAAGCTATGGAGACAGCAAGTCGATCGCCGAATAAGGAAGCGGATATCCAGTTACAACGTTAGCACATGCATCCCGGAAGGCACAAGCAAAACGACATCCGCGTCACGGCCACTGGGTCGCTCAGAGCATCAAGTGTTTCAAATTCCCGAGCTCCTAGACCTGATACTGCAGCTCTCGGGCCCACCAGCTCAAGTCCGGGCACTGCAGATCTCGGATGCCTGGCGATCCTCTGCAATATGTGTTATTACAAGCCGCCGCAACCAGGAGGCGTTTCGTTCGATATCGACATCTCCGGCCATTGAGTACGGACAAGTTATTGACCAAGCTGCTTACCTTCTACCAAGACTCTGTGAACGTCAGATCGAACAGTTCGCGCTTCATATCAACCGTATGATTAGTTGGCGGAACAAGTCGTATTTCCCGAGATACATCTATTTTCCAGCAAGGATAGCGCAACTGGGTGATCTGCCGAATTCGGTTGCAAGCACTCTCAACGAATTCGATGTTAGCCAGGCCAACTACGAATACCACGATAGCACGGTCTCTGTATCTCGCGATACGGAGCTCTATTGGCTGGACTTGACACAACTCCAGGTCAATCCCTACTTCGACCTCTTGTTTTCGGAGAAGGGCCGTTTCCTGCATCGCCTCGGTAGATGGGAGATTAGTCTACGTCCTAACGCGACACCCGGCCATCTTGTTCTGGGTGCCTCACCGTCAGAGAGGTTACTAGTACAAGCTATCGGATCAACGCATATCACAAACCCGCCTTGTCGATGCTTGGGCATTTACTGTTACGATGCCAGCGGATTGTCAGCGTGGGGCACACATGCGCTATTGAAGAGAATCCGTAACAACGACGGCATACGCGTCAACGAACTTCTTGATGCGCTTGATGACTGCGCACCGAAATTACTAGGAAAGTGGGCGGAGAGCGCCGAGGGGCTTCGCAACAGGGTCACTGAAAAGGGTCATTGGATCGACAACGTGTGGCGGATGCCTGGCACGCCCAGATTTCGCATTCATCTAGACAGCTACGATATGTCGGACGACATACTTCACATCGAAAACGCCAATACAGCAACGATGGACGGAATTGGACACCCGGCAGCTCCCACGTCCCTAGGATACCAATTTCACATCACCCGCACCGCCTATATGTCCGCGGAGCCACCCAGAGCAACGACAGAGGGCGAATGGCTCCCTGAAGAGCTTTTCGAGCCTATGAAGACTGAGACTGGACGATCGAATGTTGATTGGGAGGTGTGAGAGTCATTGGTGTTACTACGGTACTGTCAGGCATGGTTAGCACGTTGCCTACTTTCTTTTATTTCATACGCGCCAACACAGGCATACTCAGCTCATAAGCTCCATCTTCATATGCGCACAAGGGGAGCACAGCTAGAAGCGTTCTGTTCCGAGCTACTTACAGCACCACGCCAACCAAGGAAAAGATTGAACAGGTCTGCAGCCTACATCAACCTTAGATCACCTACTTTGCAGGTTTCTACGTTAATGTAGGTTGCAGGCATGTTTAGCTTTTTTCTTGTACAAGGTGGCACGAATCTTTAACGATACTGGTTCCATTAATAATGAAAGGATTTTCCCTGTATCCTACGAAGATGGCCAATAGCCTAGAGGATCTGTCACCCTCTTATCAGTATGCATGATCGCACTCTGTCACTCTTAACCTTCTCCTATTCTAGCATCATCAAAGCTGCAGTCCAGTGGTAGCTGCAACATCCTTGATTTGGTTGATAGCTACTTCTGGTTCCAGGCCAATATCACACCCTCTCCGGCACACTAATCCGACGCTGAAACCACCAGTGAGTCCATGCAGTCCGTGCGAACGTGCACTCCCTCCCATCGTCTGGCGCATCTCTCAAAGTCTTCGCGAACCAAGTCCTTGGGTGGATGTCGCTGCAACGGTCGCACCACAGCATCCCAGGCAGACCCCAGCTTTTGTTCTCGAGCACGAAGACATCGCGCCTCATGCGTCGCCAGTACACCAGTAGAGCGGGTTGATCGAAATAACGTCGGCGTTGCAAGATTGCGGTATGCTTGCAAGTACGAACGAGCGTTAGGAGGTCGGCGGGAGGGAGGTACATGGCGACTTGCTCGAGAAGCTCGTTAGGTAGACGGTATAGTGCAGACTCTCGATGATTGCGGTTCGCGATGCGAAGGTATTTCCTTTGTGTCCTGAGATTGTGCCACCACTCTATAATCGCTTGCAGATACGATTTATTTTCCTCCAAGCAGAAGTATCTTTCATCGGGAGATTCGATAACGGGATTGCCGTGAGTACGCCTTATGGGTGCGACCCTGCCTGGCGAGGTAATGGCCGCCACTGTCGTGATGATGTTCATTGCCGCGAATGTAGCCATTACGTTGAGGCAGATAATTTGCGGTGTCGATAAAATATTTGAGAAAAGATTTTTCGGGATCATGTGACATGCCTGCTTTATCAAATAGTACTGTCGGTTCATACCACCAACCTGCTTACCATCACGAGATCTCTCGGTTGCGGCTACACACCTGCTTCCATGGCCATGACTCCAAGGATGAGTTGTCAGAGTGCCAGTGGCTCGCTGCTCGCTACCACCTCATATAAAGTAAAAACCGAACAGGTTTGTAGCCTTCCTAAGATAGAAATAGGTATGCAAAGTAGGCAACCTAACGTCAACGTAGGATCTAGGGAGTTTCCGTTGTTTTTCTTTCTGGAATAAGGTGCTACGCATCATTGACGGATCGCTCCACCATAGTGTGGAAAGATGTGCGTGTCTCTAATTTGAGCTACGTGGGTGATCCCCAAGTGCACCCGTGGACGGGTAATTTCAAGCTTGCCGAGGTCGGTCCGCTAGCACCTAGCACGCGGTGGAAATATTTCCCCGAACTTAACAAAGTTGCTTCTTTTACATCCCTATATCTCTGCACACACAACTTAGTTTAGAATATCCTAATAACTAAAAATTTAGAGAATTAGAAGCTCTACTTTTCTAGTTATTTATATTCTTTTGTTCTTTTGTTGTTGTGTTGTAAGAGAGCGTTAAACAACGTTGCTACTATTAAATAATAGGTTAAGTTAAATACTAGATGCACAATATTAGACTATAATTAGGTGTATTGTTCTAAAAAAGACTAGAAGCGAATTGCTACTAAGCTATAATAGCGATTGTAAGGTATTTATAGCTGATGCTGAGTTAGCCTGGGCCCTTTGGGGCCGGGACCTGACAGCTACTTATCGATAAGCTTGGTTTGGTGAGGCAGAGTCCGGCCAATTTCTTCCACCGCGTGCCTAGGTACACGCGTACACTGGACCTGGGCAGCGTTAAGAGCGGCAATTATCCGTGTTGCACACTAGGTACTGAAATCGCTGGCGAAGCAGAATCTCAAGCCTTGTAAGTCCTCTTTAATCGCTGCTGCTGACATGGAAGAATCCCGTCGTAGGGCTTGGCGTCCCAAAGGTCACTGGCTATCATTCGCACACGCCGCACAATCTATCGATGGCGATATACAAGACTCTCGTCTGGCCCTACGCATAAAGCACTGGATATCATATGCACGAGCAACACAACCCACCGATAACGACACGGAAGAGTCTCGTCAGGCACTGCGCAGAGAGCATTGGTCATCGTATGCACAAGCAGTAAAACCCTTCGATGGCAGATGCTTTCCATTCGTGCTGGAGAGCGAGTTACGAACCAAAGTTGGCGAGCTTTTGGGCATACGCATATTTACCTCGCCCTCGCCCTCCGAAAAGTCGGCCGTTAAAGACTGGAGACGACGGGCCGAACGCCAGGTGAGGAGGCGTATAGCAGACTACTCTTACCAGAATGCGCGCTCCTCATATCTATCATGTGTGGTAGCTGGTCTTTTCCTGTTGGTAATACCATTCTTCTGGTTTTGCAGTGTTGTTCCCTGGATCACCGGTCTCTCCTACCTCGCCCCAGCGCTCAGCACTCGACCCAACGACATGCGAGGCTCTCACCAGAACCATCGCCGCTCAGAACATCGGATGCTTCGAATAGCCGAGCTACGTAATGCTATCATACAGTTTGCGGGTCCTTACGCGCAGATTCAAGCATGCGGCGTCTCGAAAAGCTGGCGGTCTTCGGCACTTGTCGCAATTCGCGATTCGACCGAACTATTCAGCACTCTGTCGTACAAGCCCATAGAACACGGACGGCCAATCAACGAACGAGTTGTCGCGCCTCTACAGCCTAGCCCGGAGGAAATAGTACAATTCGAGCGGCATGTAATGAATCAACTCGCGCAGGGTCTTTTCGGACGCCACAAGTCGAAGTACTTCCCAGCACGGCTTGCTCTTGCACGAGGTTCAAGTCCTCTACGACAACAATTGCTCGCCAACTATGCACGTGCCTCTTGGCACACACATTTCGTGCAAGGGTTACTCAGCGAGCCTCCGCGTAGGTCAAGGTGCTGGTTCGATTTAAGTCAGTTATCGATCAACCCTTACCTCGATGCGCTTTTCGCAAGGAATGACCAGATTAAACACCGTCTAGGCCGATGGGAGATTACCCTGCGGCCTTCATCGTCCCCAAGGCTTTCGCCATCCCTGAAAACACTTGTACCCAACAACTATATTGCTAGCAAAGAATTGCTAGACAGTATCGGAACCATGCACGTCACCAACCCGCCTTGCCGTGCTCTAGGTCTCTACCACAATGACCCCAGAGGTGGTGTAGCCGGGCGCACCAAACTCTTAGTCAGAGTGGAGAACGTTGATGGCGTACGGATTTGCGAATTTTTGCCTGCGCTACAAGACGCTGCTTCCACCACTCACGAAGCTTGGCTAGCGAACGCTCATGGTCTTGCCGATGACATCAAGCGCTCACACTGTATTGATGACATCTGGAATATACCTGGTGCACCTACGATACATGTCTACTTGGACAGTGTCAGAATGTCAGACAACGTTGGTGCACAAACGCCGCGGGCCAACTTCACTCGCTATACTCAGATGAAAGCCGAGCCTGATAGGCGATCAAGAGAAATGGCGTGGATATCGGAAGATCTTCTCGAACCCGCTGGGGCTATCGTCGATCGAGATCCCATCGACTGGAACAGCTGAGGTATAGTTCTCAAGTTCATGGTAATAATGGGGGTTGGGGTCAGCACATAGTGAGAGCAGTCGTAGAGTCGGGCAGTACCTGAGCGCTGAAACTCCAGCGCATTGCGATCGGGCTTGTCTTTGCATCGCAACAGTCTCCTGCGTGCACCGACTGCTTCCCTATTGTTCTGTATATAGCAATAGTATGCTTCGGGATCCTCCCACCGCCTTCTTTGCCTGCGTCCAACATGTGTTCAGTGACACTCCGGCACCAATCCATCCAAGGCTAGGCGGAGACTCATTGCTCGTCCACTACCATGGACACCAATAAATTTCGTCGATGCCGGTGCTTGACGAACAGTTACATCCTCTCTCCAACGTCCAATCCGCTTGTGGCACTACCAGCATTGCTGCACGCTTCCCGTATGTGAACATGTATAGTCTTTCCAACATGCGCGTGTCCTTTGTCTCCTCATAGGCAGAGGCGTCTCGTGGCGGTGCGATCCAGCGAAGGATGTGATAGGGTGAGGAGGTGTCAGAAGCACCGTTTCAGAGGTGGGAGAGCGAGGGTTCGTACGAGGATTGTTTGATCATTTCCCGGTTGCGTGAGAGCAGAGTACAGCAAAGCAGCGCAGCGGTGCTGAGGCGTCCGGTCATTGTGGCGCTGCTGTAGTTGGTACTGTGGGTGGCTGCGTGCTGGTCGAGGTTGTGCGAAGGCGGACTTCCTCCTTCTGTTAACTTACCTAGGTAGTATCGCGCCTCTGGTCAAGGCCTGGCTTCGTCGTGCGCATTGCTGAGGGGGGGTCAAACGGAGCGGTAGACACCATATTCAATGCTCTTGAGAGGAACTTCATGGACTGCAGTGTCGCAACCCCTAGGACGAAGCGTTGGTGACGTGTTGGTGTGGCACGCGATGGCGGCTGGAGACGTGAGAGATTGGCGTTCGTGTGCTAGGGCGGAGGGCGTACCGTTAGATAGGCCGCCGCCTGCACCATCGTCCCCAGGGCCTCTCGTATCCCCACCCTTTCGCATTCAAATCCAACCAATACGTCAACTCCACATTTGATTCAGGCGACATGACATCCGACGCGGGATCTGTTGCTCCAACGACCCCTTCCCCCGAACCCAGCGAACAGCCAAGATTGGGACCTCAGGAACACAGACGCCGGTTCCTTGTTGCGCTGTATTCAACAAGACGCTCTATTCCGCCGCACCGCGAACAGGCCCTTTTTTCTAGATACAAGATGTCTGACAGGTTCAACCTCCCTCCACAAACACCACCACTTTATTCGCAGAATGAACAATCGGCCGTGGAACAGTGGAGAGTACAAGTCGACGAGCGAATAGAGAGGCGCATAGCCACTTATCAGACTCACATACCGAGCGAACTACCTGCTACAAAGCAGTTACAATCACACCTGTCTGAGCCAGCCCCTTGCTCAGTACACACCGCCCTCGGTATCCGTGAGCTACTGGATATGATACTCGACTTTGCAGGGCCTGAAGTACAAGTTCGTGCATTGTGGGTCTCCCCATCTTGGCGTGCCTCAGCTTTCGATGTTATTAGGAGCAGCACGAACCGAGCAGCTAGTGCTTTCAAGACAGCGGGTACGCCTGTGGAATACGATAACTGGAGGTCGCATCCTCTGCCAAATGTCCCGAACTTCTGTACTTTCCCAGAAGCACAGCTTGCGTCGAACATGCGAAGAGTAATGGAGCACCCCTACTGGTTGCATTCGCCACGCAAATATCCGCATATACAGACTTTGATCGCAAGGTCTCGCGGTTTGCCCGATACTGAATCGCAGCTGCATCTTAACTTGAACCCTCAGAATCTGCCTCAAGGGAGATTACCCAATACAGCTCTTCGATCTTATGTTGAATACTCGGCTGCCTGTTTGGACATGAGCCATCTCCGAATCAACCCATATCTCGATGTACTGTTTTCTGAAGAGCACCGCATTACACATCGTATGGGCCGTTGGGAAATTAGTCTACGTGCTATGGCTACTCTTCATACACTTTTACTCGATGATACGGCTCCTCAAAGGCTTCTCATCAAGGCTATCAGTTCCATGCAAGTCACTGATCCACCGTGTCAATGCTTAGGCCTATACTATCCCGGTAGAGCCTCGAGATCTTCAAGGGCCAGATTCTATACGCTTCTGAGGAGGCTTCGTAGGGACGACGGCATAAGTGTCATTAACCTTTTAAATGCTTTGCAATTTACTGCACCTACTGTATTGTCAGATTAGATTACAGATGCAGAACAGCTTCGCAACGTTGTCAAGACCTCGCATTAGATAGATGATATTTGGACGTTCCCAGGCTTTCCCACAGTTCGCATCCACTTAGACAATAGGCTTATGGCAGACGAACTATCAAACCAGTTAGACAATAGAAGCTCCAAAAAGAACATTCTTGGCTGTCTGGGCGATCATTTCCGCGAAGCATACATACTCGCGGAGCCATCACGGAGTATTCGAGAAGGCGAATGGGTCCCAGAAGAATTGTTCGAGCCAATGGAGAGCGAGACGGGCCGCTCACCTATCAACTGGACGGGTACCTGAGTTCGTCGGTAGAGTGCGCTTGTAAACAGAAAATAAGTATACCTAGGTAGATAAGTTGCGTTCCAGATAAGATATCGCATTCTAGCTTTTACTCTCCGTACAAGAGTTTTCAGAAAGATATCGTCTTAGTGCCTGCATGAATGCAAGACCATGCGTGACCGACTTCCTATCCAGCAGGGTGACTAAGCGCCTACAAGCGCCGCATAGCTCGGCGCGAGCCCCACGCGTAAGCAGCGCGTCAGGGGCCTACCGCGTGACGTCCGAACCTCGAAGCCCCCGACATTTTAGATATGCTTTCCAGTGACAGAACTCACACGCAAATCCGACGAGCGAAATCGTCCAGGTCATCGACGTACAGCGAGAAGGCTTCAGTAATCCAATCCGACAGTATGGCAATCAGCGCATGTGTACGACACCAACCGAGGACCAACAGAACCGCGCCAGCAAAGTCACTCGCGAGACCTGTAGATTGATTACCGCAGAGGGAGTATGATTGAATCTGCGCCCTGTTTTACATGAGACATAGTAGCGAGGGTTGACTGAAAGATAGCAAGAAACAAACCCTAGCGCCACTTCAACCCTCGCCCTCGAAACGCTCGAACGACCGCCTTCGCTTCGCCGCACCCTCCGACACCAGCCTGCGTATATTCTGACGATCAAGCTGCGGCCCCGACTACATTGATAGCACGTTTGGTCGCAGATTCGGGGTTCTGGGCACCCGTCGCGCCATCGCGCTTTCATACATATCTCTGCGGACGGTCACATCGGTTCTGACCATTGAGTTGGGGTAGATGGTCTTCAGGATCAGTCTTGTTCTCATGCGCTTCTGCTTGTCAGTCATGTTGGGCACGCCTGGCAGGCTGATACCCTCAGCATGGTAGGCCCACGAAGCTTCCGAGGTGAGCCTGAAGGTCGAAGTCGCCGATGTCTGTTCAGCCACTCCACAGTATCTGTAGGGGGAATTCCATGTCGTGACATGTCGTGATGGACATAGTCGCAAGGAAACTCTTCTGCTCTGATGTCATGAGAAGGGATCTACCGAGAGACTGTTCACGGGCCAGAACCCTTCGACGCTCTAGCGCAACCTTGCTAAACCACCATGGTTTACTCTGCCTTTCGTGTTTGAGCCTAATCAGTCCTTACGCTATTACCTCGGTTTCGGGCTGCATGGCGACATGTGTTTCCTGAAGGGAACGCTCATGTGAGCTATAACTTGGCCACGACGACCGTCTGACCACTGTTAGCTGCCATGCTGAAGCGTCGTCGTAACCAAGGAACATACCAGCTGTACGGTACAGCAGCCTTCGGGTCTCAAGCGGAACAGCGGAACACCTTTGCTATCCCCTCGCCCACAGGGCAAGACTTGGATAACGAGCGTAAGAGCTCACTAAAGAGTACAAACCGGCGCTATCGTCTCGCCTGCTTGGCCATCAGAACACGAGTTCAAAACGTACTCATCGCCCAGTACACACTAGTGATGGACTTCTCAGCATCTGGGCGGCAGTACTACACGGTCGCCTGTTAACATGAGCATTTGCCACGTAAATATGACGGACACTCGCTTAGTATGCGATATTCAAGTTGATCGAGGTAACGAACAAAGCAACAAGACCACCACACTGAAAGGGCAAGCCCGACACTTCAAGACCATGATTATTATCAAACACTTCATTTTACTAATGGAAAGAGAAACAAATGGAATACGATGATATTTCTATGTACAACCTGATGCGCCGTCCCACAAAGTCCGTCAAATGTCTTGCCAGCAAGAATACTTAAGTACAAAATCTCCAATTCAACTCAACCAACTGACTACTGCAGAGCAGAAATCCTCCAATAGCCTCCCTACACGTTTGACCGTCAATGGTGACCCTCCTCGCACACCTATTGACTAGAGTTCACACGCTTGGAAGAGGGGGATGAGTCTTCATCCTCTTCGCGGGGTCGCTTGGAGGGAGTGAACTCGATCATAGGACCGAGTCCCTCCAGCTCAGAGGTGGTAGTGGGGTCTTGGAGGATGTAGAGGGCTTGCGGCACAAGCCGAGTCTTCCAGACCGGTGTCTTGTCACTGAAGGACAGCTGTCCCCTGTAGGTCTCCTCGACGAGGTAGATCATACCGAGTTGATGTGGCATAACCTCGCCTGGGGTGGCGCGTGGCAAACCAGCTCGCCATCTTGCGATGTCCGCAGGAGCGTTGCTCGCGGGAGGGGTTGCGTTGCGTGCGTCAAGTATCCATGGGTAGCCACGCATACGCTCCTCAACAGCCATCGTGTGGACCTCACGCTCTGGCTTGCCCCCGTACCTAAGTCTGAACTGGTCTTTCAGCCTGTTCTGCACCTGATGGTGTGTTTCCGAGAGACGGAAGATTCCACCCTCGGCGACGCCCAACGACCTGTTACTGCACGCTGTCAGTACATGTATCACCAAAACGTGGGTTTGGAATGACTTACTCAAGGCGCGCGCCTGGGTCGCTTGCTGGTGGTTCCCACGTACCGTTGACGATTGCTCGGAGCATGCGAAGGTCCGCTGCGGTATGTGCCACCGCGGCGGTGTTTGCGTCCGAAGGAATCATCCCCGAAAAGTTGAAGTTACGCCCAACAACGGTGGTGTTGTTGGCAAACCTGCTCTCAGGGTCCGCATGAAGGTACCGGCAATGTACCAGTTCGACGAATAGATGAACCAGCTGCGTCAAGACTCAGTAAAGCATCAAAAGTAGACGTTCGAGTGACATACCCTGGCTTTCAGCGGGCTGATGGTAGAGGCGGCAGAGTTGGTGACGAAACCAGTGGCATTGATGGGCAATGTGGGCTCGTCCTGCATCCTTGAGATGAGAGTGTTCTCGAGGTCAAGTTTCCTCATAACCCTGATTGGCATTAGCACAAGATCTCTTGCATTGATAGGTACCAAGGTATACTTACTCCTCCGTTCCCCGGTTCACAACTAGTGAGCTCATCGTGGCAGCGTTGCCAAAGGGTGTTCAACAAAAAAGTATAAAGGTCGTATGATCGATAGAAGAGCTCTTCGTGGTCGACACAGAAAAGCTTGGGGGATGTAGTCGTCGAGCTGTAGCTTGGGACTTCAGAGGAGAAGAATCTCATGTCCTTATATACTCAAATGTCATGAGCTTATGCAAGCAACATGCGACACTGATACCCACAAGTAGGTACGGTCGTTTAATGACTACAGGGTACTGTCTCGATCGAGATCACCAAGTCAAACATCCGCCTTATCCTCATCTGGCAATGTCTGCGGTGTGACAAGGTTAAGTATTTTTCGACTACGTGACCCGCAATCGAGTAGTGCCGTCTTTCTCATGTTTCAGTCGTAACAATCGACAAGTATTGTCACCATGTTGAGAATTGGGAGAAGAGTTGAACGTATTTAGAGTTGCACAAAACCGCCAAAGTCGTTTGATCCAAGTAGTGGTTTCTCTCATATTGTAGTATAGACCATGTCGTCTTACACGATATGCGCTCCGTCACGCGTTCCGGTATACCTAGCTACTCCACTGAAGCACCAATAGCTGCCGCAAACCTTGGCCGAGAATTCGAATCCACCATCGGCCCTGCGCTTATCTCTCAACTCGATACAAGCAAGCCCCTAAACCCTCTTGGTTGTGTTTCCAAAAGTTGGTCAAAATCGCTCGTCCTGTGGCTGCTTTCCTACGCTACTGCAAGCACTATCAGCATACGGCCCGGGAAGGCTCTTCACTAGAAAGCGCTACTCAATCCTGAAATCTTACCAAAGAGGATACCTAGGTAGTGTTAGCCCTTCCTGGATAAGTATCGTGAGATGTGATGAGGAGGAGACTCATCGCCGTACCGTGGATGTACATGGAGCGTACCAGCTCAGAATCACCTGGGCAGTCGTCGGCAAATCACAGTCATCACATACCCAACCACCCAGGGTACCTTCAAAGTCATTGCAATCGGATCATCACGAGACGAGCGCGCAAACAAGAAGGTTGGCGTTCGTCCCGTCCTTGCAGATTAGATAGACCCACTGTGGAGTACGATCTTGGCTCGGCATCTGCATCCGCATCCATATGTAGACGCGAAGTATGGGACGCCCCACCCCCAACGAACAAGAAACGCAGAGAAAAAAGAGTTCGGCGCACGTTCCCAGTTCGCACGCTGCAAGCGAACTCGATGAATAAACGTGCGCTTGTGCATAACTTCTCCGTTCTTACTTTGAAGCGCCGCCCTTTATCACGGCTCTGGCAACAGCGGAGTAAGGACCTCGTAGCAGTGATAGTTGATTCCAGTAGTACTACGAAGTGTATACGCTCGACGGTCAGCTCGACCATGTTGTAACCATACACCGTTGATACCTAGGTAGGTATGTAACGTTATTTTTTTTTTAATGGAGACGGTATACTTCAGCATGCCAGGGCCATTACTCGACACGATTTGTGGAACTGTCTCACCTCTTGCATTCGGTATGTCCCTGCTCATCTACTCAGGTACGACGTTGCGGGGCCCTTACCGTTGGGCCTTCACGAAGCTGAACCCGCAGTGTCGTGGTCGCTGCCTGACCACCTGGGTACTACCTACCTAGATAGGTAACGTCGGCTGTCGCGCAACCGGCCGCGTTACTATCTACGTAAGTGTCTCTGTTTCGAAGCACACACACACCGCTGTCGCATTTGAAATATCAGAATTGCGGGTTGTTTCCGACTTGCTGCACTGGAAAGTAGATCGCTCGCCCAAATTCTGCCTAGTCCTGAAGGCTGTTGCGACAGTGGTCACCCTCGATACCAATCGTCACCTTTTCAGATCCTACCTCAGTGTACCTGCAATCCTTTTTGCTGCTTCCATGCTTACCGCGCAGTATTCGATACGATATGTTGAGACGACGTCGAAGCGCGCGCCTGCTTCTTCTTCTTCTCACGGTCCTAAGCTTCGGCGGACTAAGCTCAGTCCTGCTATTGTGCTCATCGCGCACACAGCCGCAATACAATGAGGGCGTGCGTGAGAGCAGCAATGGTGAGCTGGTTACTATCATTCTCTGTCGGGTAGCCTTAAGCTGTATGCTTGGGCTATGCCTCCCGTTCATACCATCTTTGCTGGGCCAATATGTACATAAGCTAGTCAAAGCAATTACAAGATGCTGGCAAACTTGGTCGGCGCATGCTTATACATGGTTTCGGCAAAGGTGGTACCGCAGAGATAACTTGCTACGTCATGAGCTCCCTTACAACAAGTTCTCCACGTCTATGAGTAAGCGGATGCGTGTCTGGTACTTGATGGCCGACAATTACAACAAGCTCTTATCAGAGTATGATCGTGTTGTGGTTGTCAAGGAGGAAGCTAAGGAAAGCGACGAAGAGACCAGTCTTAATTCTTCGAAGCCTTCAAAGCCATCAAAGCCATCGCAATCATACCCTATGCCAAAGCGCAATCTCAATGACCAGCCCGAACCAGTACCAGGCAGCAGTCTGAGTCAAAGGCGCTCTCTGTTTACCAGTCTTAAGCATCGCGTCTGCAAGGCTTTTCACGCACTACTTTCCGACTACGAACAGACCAACCTCAGACAGCGCATCCGTAAGGCTATTTACGTACTATTTCCCAACCAGGAACAAGCCGAGTTCAAGCAGCGCGTTACCGAGGATGTCCACAAAGCCCTCTTCGCGCATCCCGCCGAATACGCCAAGAACATGCGCGAGTTAGCCAGTCAACTTCTACTTAGTGAAGATGATGAGGCTTGGCTGGAGCATCTGGAGCAGTGTTCTGCTACCGATATCATGAGCTTGGACGTCTGGTCCTTCGCCCGAGATGGGTCGGGTGCCAAACACGAACCGCCCTGTACGTGCCCAGATCACTCTGATAACGACACTCGCATGCCCCGCAATGCAGACATGCCTGTCTCCCGCTTCAACTTCGACATATTCAGCTGGATCGTCGCCATCGCATCGTATCTGGAAGTCTACAAACGCCGCTTGTTCCAGCCACTGAGAGCCCTCTCGAACTCCTGTGTTCAGCGTATCTCCACCTGGTTCGCGGAATGTTGCAAACTCTACGAGCGCTGCTCATTCCAGTCATTGAAAGCCTTATTGGTTGACTGCGCGCATCATCTCACTACCAAGATACTGAGCATTTGGAGTTCCATATGGCCATCGTCCGCGACCGAATGCTGTTTCTGTCAATGGAAGAAGAGGTATGGCTACGTGAAGAGATATTCCGCGCAGTCTATCGCAAAGATCAACTTCAAGAGCATACCTGAGGTATGTTCCTGGATTCTCGACACGGCTGCTTCGATTCACGTTACGAATAACAAGGCGTGGCTGCACGATTTTGTTTCGGCTCGGGCTGAAGCTGATACCATTGCCACACAAGATGGCTCCCAACTGGCCATAGATGGATGGGGTTCTGCGCTACTGGTGGTCTCAGAGAAGGACGGTGTGAGAAAGGAAGTGAAGCTGGAACGCGTCGCATATGCACCAGCTGCGAGACATAACGTGGTATCGATTCCAACACTGGCCGAAATCCACCACTACAATGGAAATTGGAACCACACAGAGATGAGAGTATTCGATAAACATGGAGATGAAGTGGCAGTCGCACCACTACACTCGGGCCAGTTCCATCTCAATATCTTGAACGCTCCGCAGTCCCAGTGCCATCCCTATGAGAGGGATGAACAAGTTGAAGCGAGAATATCCAGTCCAAAAGCGTCAGTGATGGCGATAGGGCCGGTCAGGCATCGTGATTCGTTTACCCCGGTACAACGCACGGAGCCAAATCACGCGCTTCCTCCAACACCACCTTCTAGCACTCCTTCAACAGTTCCCCAGTACCACAGGAATACATCGCAACATCCAGGCTATCCTCAAGTGGCCGCACCGCTCGCATCTCAATACCAACATGACATGTCACAGCAAGCCTTTCGCCCCACCCCGCAGTATCAAGAGGCAGTGCGTCAACACGAAGGGCATCGCCCTCTACCATATGTGACGCCGTCTTTAGCGCAAGCTGCGAGACCGCGTCAATATGTCTCGCCCTATCCAGGACTGCAAAGCTACAACCCGAACCACATCACAACAAGTCCCGGACAAATGTACGCAAGTTCTCCTCGGACGTGTACTCCTGTACCTCCTCCAGCCTACGCCAGTACATCACACATGATGAGCCCCTCTTCATATGCCTCTTATTCACCCATGGCTGATATAGTGAGACCAGTCGCCTCCCCTCAGACGTATACTCCTGTGCCTTCTCCAGCCTACGCCAGTACATCACACATGATGAGCCCCTCCTCATATGCCTCTTATTCACACATGGCTAATATGGTGAGACCAGTCGCCTTCCCTCAGATAGGTTATTCGACGCATGCATCTGGAAGTCAGTACTCATCACCATACGCTTATGGTACGCCAGGCCAGCAAGAGTACCAAACCTACGAGGCGCCCCGGTCCCACTTCAATCCATCGACTCGAAGCGTCCAGCAGCTATTGCATACTTTCGGATACCATCCACCAACATCTTCGTATGCGCCCATGACTACGAGCACGAATTCTCAACAATCGCATCATTACCCAACAGGTCACGAAAACGCAGCTACCCATGTGATCGTGACTCGTACGCCTACACCCCAGCCTATTAGATCCGCACGAAGAAGAGAAGAAAGAGCTGAGAAGAAGAGACTTCAGCGTGCGGCCTCCGAAAGCACTCTTCGTCGTCCAGCAAAGTTAGCACCCGCACCATCGCTACCCCATGTTGCACCCACGACGCTCGAGAATGAAGCTACGCCTTTAACAGGCGCTGGACCAGTGTCTCGGGATTACTCTGTTAACCCAGGAGAGAAGCGGAAGGAGAGCAGGTAAGATCGAATTGTCGCGTGAATCCTCAACAGCAAACTTACCTTGTTCAGTGATAATGGCCCAGCTTTGACAGGCGACCAAGGCAGAGAGAAGGTGCAACGTACAAACAAACTTTGTGCCATGATCATACAGACTGTGCATCTACGCTCGAGTAAGAAGGGCCCTGACAAGGAATATGGGCTAAGGACGTGCCGGAAGGCCGCGGAGGTGGGCGACTATTGCACACGTCATGGTAAGTATATCAATTTCCATTCAGCTTTGAACCCGGAGGCGGATCTGTTGCTTTTATGTGTATATGTTTGCTGACTGATGTACTCCAGCCTTCGGTACTAATGTCAACGTCCCTTCGAAGAACTTTGGAGACTGGTTTACCAGGAACTTGACCAGTCAGCACGCAAAAACACGCCTCATGCGTCGTGCTCGCAAACGCCTTGGAAACAAATACCAGCACCGAGGAATCTGTGGTGTCTGTGGTGTACTCGAGCGTGTCTGGAAGAAGCTTGATAATGATCAGATCGACAAACACCTCCAAAGCGTCGACACCCTGGAAGTTCCCAAAGATTTCATGGCATGGCACCAACGAACATGGGCAGAAGATCCAGAATATCAAGACAAGTACGAAAAGATGTTCAGCGTCGAAGGAATGCCGATCCTGAAGAACAAGTTCATTGAGAAGGCTGGCGTAGTGGGCGGGCGGCTCCAGATGTGCGAAGGCTGCTTTGATCACCTTGGGATAAAGAACACGAGACCACCAAAGCAAAGTTATGCCAACTTCACCTTCACGGGCGAGATCCCGGAGGAGCTTGCTTGCCTGAGTGAGGTTGAGCAAATGGCGATAGCTTCGCGACGCGCGCTCCAAGCCATGTTTTGGCTCAAGCGCACTATCTCCGATGATCTTAAAACGCGCCAGCGAGCATCCAGTGGACACTGGCTCGCTTTTACTCACAACTATGGCGAAATGGCCACCCGCGTAATGAGCCTGCCTCTCACAGCAGACGTTCTCGCCGATTCTATCCAGGTCAACCTGGTCAACTTCAAAGGAAAGTCTGATACGTTCCGCCAGCAGCTTTCCGTCGATCCCCAGAAGTTGTTCCGAGCTTTCAAATGGCTTAAGAGAAACAACCCTCTGTATGAAGATCTTGTATGGGACGAAGAGGCTGCGAAGATGTATGATGGAGGGATACCCGAAAGCATCATCATGCCTGCCGAGGCGTCACCGTCTCCAGATGCCCCGAGCGATAAGCAACCCAGTGCGACACCTTCTTCTTCCGCCGAACAAGAACCATCCGCCGACGAAGAACCATCCGCCGACCAAGAATACCTTGACGATGAGGCCGCGGCGTCCGTTGAAGAAGACGACAATGAGTCAGTGGACGGCAATGAGGCCTCGATAACCGAGCAGGACCTGGTCGACGCAGGAGCGAGCCCCGAGGCTGATATAGATAGAGGGGTCCATGGCGAACAAGATTCTACTGGAGATGGCAGTGAGAGGGAACCATTCGTCTTCAGTAGAAGTACCATATCCTTGATGGACCATACCGGTATGCCACAGAGAGAGAAGATTGGGGTTGGGATTCAAAAGGTTGCTGGTAGGTTCGGCCGCTTTCAATACAGCTGATTTGCATGGCTTACGAGCCATGCAAATCGGTTGTGATCATCAGTTGGGCCCAAGCTGACTAAATAATCACAGGACTACCCGTCACTCTCCAACGTAGCAACGAACTATGCGATGAGAACGATCCGAAGCACCTACCATCCATTTTACCCGTGCTTTATCCATTGGGGGTGGGTGGATGCAACCCATGGCCCAAAAAATACGAGTCCGATCCGCATCTTCCGTACAAGCTCTCCTTCCAGGAACACATCAGACTTCTACTTCGACGTGGCCCCCGCTTCATCAGGTACCAAGGTCTTGTTGGAGCCGACAAGATTGAGGTCCAGGGCGCTGGATTTGCCGACCATCCTTTCTTTCTACCTCTAACGGCCAACACATATCTACGGATGGAAACTAGGAGGCTGACATGCCTTCGCTGCAATTCGGCCTATGGACAGAAGGCTGCGGAACTTATCTCGAAGCTTGACGCGGCGACGCTGGATGCTGTGCTTGACCCCAAAAGAGAGAATGACGCATCGTTAGCGCAGTATAGGAAAGCTTTTGAGGATCTTGTGAGAGCAGTACGCGCCATAACTGGCAATGTCATAGGGACTGCCCAGTCGCGTCGCAATAGCCGCGACGAGATATGGGGAATGATACACAAGTACGGACGTCCAGCTGTAAGTCTAGACCATACTCCTGACCTTTCTTCGACTGACGTTCGCATAGTTCTGGTGTACTATCAGTCCTCCAGAAGGCCATAGTAGGCTTATGGTGAAGTTGTGCGGCGGCAAAATTGACCTTGAAAAAGAGAACGAGGAGATCAAAGAATACACCGCCAAGGTCCGCGCAGCGCTCGCGGCGAACAACCCCGTGGCCTCAGCCCAATACTTCGACATCATGGTGAACGTCGTTACCGATGTGTTGATCGGCAACGGAACCCACAAGGGACTGTTTGGCTATGCGAACGGACACTACGGCACAGTTGAGACTAATCAGCACGGCGGCCTTCATCTGCACTTCCTAGTCTGGCTAAAGGAACTTCCAAAGTGCAGCGACCTTATGGAGAAGCTGAATCTCGAGGGAATGAAGGACGCGGAGTTAGAAGCATGGATCACACAGTATGTGGATGGTTGTTGCACGAACGGCATCGATGGTCACCTCCATCGCACGAAAGACGAGGAAGCCAAAATTCGGTCGGACAAACTCCGAGCAGGCCGAGCTCGGGCCGATCTCCGGCGCATCGCTACCCGCGATGCCGCGCAGCAGCTGCCAACTCCAAGCCCGAGTGCAGGTAAGATACATACCTAGGCATCACTACACGACGACCACTTTGTCATTGCTAACAAATGTCTATCCAGTGAACGAAGATACCGATAACAACCCAGATGCCCAGAACAGTCACACAACAGCGCCACCGCCGAACATATCCACCGACGTCGATCGAGAACCGCACAACGAGCCGGAAACCCGCGAACCCGAGCCACAAGCATGCGAAGCTACAACGATTCCAACACCAGACAGCGCCGACACGGATGGGGAGGGAGAGACAGAGAAGACTTCGTTGGAGACAGCTGTCACTGCGCAAGAAGACGTACTGGACGTACCGGACGTACCCAACGACAACGACAAGAACGACCACGAATGTTTTCGACCCATCCCTCGTCTAGAAGAACCATTGGATGAAGCCGACTACGAAGATATCTTGTGGTACATGAAAGCTGCAGCCGAAGTCGAGAAGTTCCAAACGTCATTACCCCCGGAGGACAAGAGTCCCAATGCTGAGGATCAGACACCCACGCCGACTAGCTATGATCCTACGGACGTTGTGGCCAAGGACCTTTCATCGGAGCTGATTCGCCTGGATCAATATGAGGTGCGTGGATGGGGTGTTCATCGTTTAACCAGTGCCCGTACTGACTAGAATTATAGCTTATGTACAAGGTCCAAAGACACACCTGCGGAGCAAACAAAAAGTGCAAACCAAAGTGTCGCTACAAATATCCTATGAACCACAACGACGACACACTTATCAACAACGTCGGAGAAATCATCCTTGAACGTGGACACGGATGGATCAACAGCTTTTCGCCAGTATTGTTAAGTTGCATGCGTGGAAATCAGGACTGCAAGCCTACCTTCCTTGGCGCCTGCAGCTATTGCAAGGTCTACTACATGACGAAATACATGACCAAATCGGAGATGTCTATGGAACGGTTTAACGATATTGTCCGGATGGCTCAGAAAATGAACGATTTCTATCTACCCAGGGGCCCAGATGATCGGGGCCCTGCCAGGAACGGTCAATCAATGATCAATCGCACAAGCAACAGGATTCAGAGTCAAGCAGGTAAGGAGCCAATTGTCTTTGAATGTGACTGTGCTGACTTAGGTCCAGAGCTGTCGTACAGCGCGCTAGCTTCATATATCGTGAACAAAAAGGACCATTACGCTTCCGACCAGTTCCACAAAGTCAATTTGGCATCTTTTCTAGGATGGATCAAGGACTTGGAAGACGGCAAGGAGCCAGACGTTCCGGAGGC